ACCAGGTCCGCACGCCCAACCCTGCCGCCTGCGCTGCCACGCTTGCCGTATCCCACCACGCCCCGCACCGCACCGCGCCACGGCGCGCCCCGCCGTGGATTCAGATGGCAGACAATTACATACCTACTACATACCTTTCTTTAAACATAGTCCTTTGCCCATCTCAGATTTCGAGGGAGGTCATGCGGCAGTTTCATTGTGAGCTCAGCGTGGCGCGGTTCGTGGCCCACCTGAGCGTCGTCCGCGGTGGTCGGACGATTAGGAAGAACGTAGACGTACTCGACACGACGGGCCCGCACGCCCGTACCTTACCGTACCGTACGGAAAATCCCGTACCTTACGTACCGTACGGGATTCTTGCCCATCCTTAATAGTGTACGATCTTGTACTTTAAGCATTTACGGTGTAGGGTAACGTTCTAAGGGGATGGAATTTCCAATTGATGTGGAAGCAGGGCCTCTGTGAAGACGGTAACGATCCCGAGCGGGTTCAGGGACGAGAAAATCCTGAACTTGCACATGGGACAAGTGCCTAAGCGTATCGTTATCGGATTCGTTTCGGCGTACAACGGCAGTTACGAGCACAACCCTTTCAACTTCCAACATTTTAATTTGAACAATCTAACTCTCTATGTGGACTCGCATCAAATCCCGGCAGTCCCCGCATGGAAAATTATGGCATCAGATTGTCATCAGTATGTCATCACGCCGATGACAAACGGATGGCAAACTGATGACAACCCGATGGTAAATTTGATGACATACCGATGACAAACGGATGACAAAACGGAAATCGCTGTTTGTCATCAGTATGTGATCAATTTGCCATCAGTTTATCATCATTTTGCCATCCATTTCCCATTGGATCACAAACGGATGGCAAAATGATGATAAACTGATGGCAAAATGATGATAAACTGATGGCAAAACGGCCCGATCCGAGCAAGGGCTAGGGCGCTGTTGCCAAGTGGGCACTCCCCCTTACTACGTCAAGAAACCGTGACGTCATGGACCAGCCGACCACCCCGCCCCCCGGCCGGCCGCCCCTGTCTGACTGCACCCAGAAACGAAAAGTTGTCTCAACCATCCGATGGTTGTCAGCACCCAGTTTTGGGGTTAACCAGGGACAACCATAAAATCACCTTGATCCAACAATATCCATTTTGTTAGACCTCTACGGTTGAAGAGACAAAGATCATGATAGGATGAGCATATGCCGTTTGTCTCAACCATACACACAGCTGACAGAATGATACAAATGCGCACACAAACAACATTTGTCTCTCTTGAATTATGAGTTAACCAGAGATTCTGGTTGAGCTTTGGCCCTAACCAGATCATAGTTTGTAGAACTATGATATTGTTACTAAAGCAGTAACAAGATGTAGGAGTTGAGAGAACCATATATGGTTGTCCCTGGCCTCACTGGCTATCTTATGGTTGCCTTCCTTTTTTAAAGTGGATCTTTTGGACAAGTTCCACCCTCGCTCTTTTTTTTTTTTTAAACTGATATTGAAATACTGAAAGCAAATTTTGCGCTGGTTCTGATTATTGTTACCATAAATAATTAAATACGCCTAATTTGTAAATTTTCAATATACTTGACCTGTTTTTGCACTGAGCAAACTATGGATACAATTAATAATTTTGAACGTTATTCTAGGTAAATGAAAATTTTATGGCTCATTATATTGACGTTTTTCTTCTATTTGAAAATAATCCTGCTCGTAGACATGATGGAAATTTGATTATGTTGGAGATTGTATGACCAGATCTCAGCGCTCATATTTCATTCAAAGACGTGTATCAAATATAGAAGTGTAAGTCGATTGCTACTATTATTATTGAATAAATTAAACTTCGCCTCATCTGCTGAATCCTTTTAACCTTTGAACCACATAAGATATCGAATTACAACAATTCCTGGGTGAGTTTTAGTGTGTAAGTGTGGATACAGAGTTCACGAAACGCAAGCGTGATTTTCACGTAAGGCGTGATTTTTCACGCCAGGCGTGATTTTTCACGCCAGGCGTGATTTTTCTCGCTTCGTAAGCTTCACACAGCCAATCAGGAACCGACGTTCATCACGCCTGGCGTGAAAACCACCCTTGGCGTGAAAATCACGCTCGTGTTTTGGGAACTCTGTATCCACCATAATTCTGGGAGAATAGACAATATACTCTGAATGTGAATAAACAAACCAAACGTCATGTACAACACAACAAGAGCAACAAGACTAGTGTCGTCTGCAGAGTATGAGAAATCTTCATTAGCTCAGAAAATTTGAATGTGGCGCACCAAAGAGAATGAATCATGACACACAACAAAACATTTGAGACAAATAAGATTTTAAAAATAAATCTTACTTTACAGTAGAGATTTAAAATTACCGGTAATATAAAATTTCTCGGTAATTTACCGTAAATTACCGTAAATTACGGTAATTTTAGGTAATATTTGGTAATATTCAAAACGCAGCTTGTATAACTGTGCTTTTAGTATTTGAGGTATAGTATTAAGTTCTCTGACTATTTTCATCATTTTAACAGTCGAGTCAGTAGTTGAAGCACCAAAGTCGATCTTTACTCGTTTAAAATTGGAGTAGTAAGGATGAAATAATGAGTGAAAGAAAGGTCTCAAACAAAAAAAGGGCAATAACCGCCTTGCGTACTCCGCATGTTCTCCGCGTACAACGTGTCCTGCAAACGATCTCGAGTATAATTTTGTTGTATACTCAGAAGTAAGTACAGCCAGAGTCTATGTATTTAAGGCTAAACACTTTGTTCCCTAAAACTTCGAGTTGGCGACCCCTTCTCATGGAATAGTACAGAACAGACAGAAAGACGCCAGGTCTTTTACATAAGCCCACTACGTAGCTTTTTCAAAGCCTGATTAAAATGACGCGTTTCCTAACCTGACGTACTCTGACACGCAAATGAAACTTGTTGCGTAGCGTATTCGCGCGTAGCCCAATGAACTGACACAAACACAACACATCAGACTTGCATTTGCGCGATACGACAGGACTTCCCTC